CCCCGTTGTTCCATGTCCCGAGCTCGGCAAATCTGGAGCCAGACAGAGGCTCCAAGTCTACTCCTTGCCCTTCAAGCTGGAGGAAGGAAGAGAAAACCGTGGTGGGGAGAAGGCAGAGGCCACTCCACAGGGAGCTTTCCTCCTCCTCCCTCGATGCTCTCTCTTCCTTCCTCCAGCTTTCCAGTCCTCAGAGGGTTCCTCTCCCCCATCAGGGGCAGAGTCTGAGGAATCCTGTGGGGATCTGGACCCGAATGAAAGTACTGTCCTCTCCGAGTCAAGTACATTCCATGCAGGGCTGAGTGAGTGGAGGCTTCACTTTCAGTGGCCTTGAGAAAGCGGCCTTATCTGGAGCTTGTAGGCAATAAGGCTGAGACTTCTGTGAGCCAAAACTGAGCTTTGAAATAAACCTTATTCAGCAAACCCAGCCTCCCTGGCTCCTTTCTTTCAATGCGGAAGGGGCTAGAGGAGGTTGTACCACCCAGAAGTCTATTTCTGGTTGTGTTCAACACCTGGGGACACCCAAAGGTCCCACACCCCCAGCTGAGTTGGTTCAATTCAAATCCAGGCATCTAGTTGACAAGCCTGAGTCTCTTCTGGAAAGAGAACCCTCTTGTGATCTTGTGACTCGGAGGGTTTCGGAGACTTATAGATCAGAAGCAGGGATGTTGCTACATTAGGTCTTGTGCTAACTTTTCTCAACCATAATGAACCCTAAAGGACCACACCGGCATAGCTTCTGGAAGCTTCCCAGCTTCAATCAGGTCACAACTAGCTTGATTTAGCCCCAGTGTTCTCTTCTTAATGGCCATTTGGTTCAACAGTTTGACCAGGAACACAAGCCCTAGACCAAATCAAATAGAAACCTTTATCTCTAACCTACTTTGGTGCAGAGCTTCCAGGATATGCTGCGATTAAAGCCTGCTCAGGAGGAAGGGATTTTTTTTTTAACCTGGGTGGGAACCTCATATTCACAGAGAAGGAGGAGGGAAGTCTTTGGAAGAGCCGAGAGAACAGAAAGCCATCTTTCCTGGGACTCCTCCCAGATATCGGCAT